GAAGCACTCAGATAATAGAGATAGGTGCTCACAATGGCTTTACAGTCAGAAGTAGAAACTTAGGAAGAACCTACCTTAATTGTTTAGGCAATTAGAAATACATATGTACTTGCATATAGCCTTACTATATTCAAACTTACATATAGCCTTACTATAAGACTTGCATATTTAGGGGTCAACAGGAAGTTCTTCAGCTGGACAGATGGGGGGGGGGCTCTCAAGAGCCTCACATGAATCCTGTCTGATAATCCAATTCCAAGGTCCGTTTGGACCAGACATCTCCCCACCCCCGGAGGGGGGCAAAGAAGACAGCATCTCATCAGACCCAGGGGGAAGCAACAGAACCCTCACAGGTCGGAGTTTTGTCTTTTGAATCAGAGTCGGGGTGACAGCCTATAAATATGGCTGAACTACTTGTCAAAGCAAAAGGAACAGGAGGGTTCGGAAGAGATGAAAGGCCAGTAAGATAATTTATGTAACCCACATCCATAAATCAAACCTGCAAAAGGCAAAGAAATCTTAGGAACATTAATAATATTGATGGTCAGATCGGAACTTTTCCAGAAAGGAAGGAAGGAAGGAAGGAAGGAAGGAAGGAAGGAAGGAAGGAAGGAAGGAAGGAAGGAAGGAACTGCCATAAATCAGAACTGAAAGTAGGAGGCAAAAGAAGAATACCCGAATCTAGCGGATTGCAAGCCTGTTTCAAGTAATATATTATGAGCAGCTATAAGAGACCGGACCCGGTAAGGGAAAGAATAGCAACAGAATATTAACGGAATTCAAACTTGTTTTGCTTTGTTTTGCTTTCTTCTTCTTTATTTTTTTCCACTTGGCAAAAGAGAAAGATGGCCCCAGCTTCTCTTCCATTTTGAATTTAAGGTGTGAAATAAGTTTGAAATAAGATTTGTATAACTAACTGCAATTTTGGATCTGGACATTACAGTAGAACGAAAGACTAAGGTTGTCACCTTCGTTTTTTCCCACAGCAATTGAAGCAGATAAATGTAAGGTGGAACAGAACTTTGAAATAAGAACTGCATAACTGTATAATTAACTGTAACTTTGGAACTGGACATTATGGAAAACTGGGAATTTGAATAACTGTGAAATTTTATAAAAATATACGTATATAAAACAGTAAAATCAAGTCTAATTAGAATTTTGAATCCATTGAAGCAGATAGCTATAGAAGAACTCAAAGAGGAAGGGGAGTGAGACATTGAAGGGGGGAGGAAAATAAAAAGCAGACAAAAAACTCCTTTGGTCCCGGCAATGGTATAGGGAAAATTGTGAAAAGGGGAGGTGTCCCAACAAAAGGGAAAAGAAAGCTGACAAAAGTGGTCTTGGAGGCTGTTAGTGGCATAAGGAAAATTGAAGCAGGAGGTTATGCCCCAACAAAGAGGGAAATTTGAAGGGAGTGGATGTGTCAAAATAAAGAAAAGGGAGAAGACAGGAACAGAGAAATGGGACAAAAGACTTACCAGGAAAAAATCAGATAATTAGAAACTACTATATGGGAAAATATAAAGTTAAGATAAGGGCTTTATTCCTAAATATGATAATAAAATGGAGTTGCTAACTGGTTGAACAAGATAATGGAAAGATAACTAAATAAAAGTTAAAATATATGGAATATGGATAAATATGAAACTGATATGGGGAGCTTGTAAAGCAGAGGTTTGTGATTTACCTATTTGGCATGATAATTAAATTAAGTTGTGAATTGAGTGAATATGACAATAGAAGGACAACTAAGCATGGGTCAAAATCTATGAAACATGGACATATATAGAACCTTTAAGATAGTGAACAAAGTGAGATGTTTACCGCCTGTTACTCCATATAATACATTAAGGGAAGTGCAATCAATACTGAATAACAAAGATTGTCATCTAGAGATAATTAAGGGTAATTTAATCCAAGGTATAGAAGAATGGAGAGGGAACATGAAATATACCTATAATGGGAAACTATTCTGATAAAAAGACAGAATCACAAATTGGGAGCAAGTAAGGGTGTATAATTATATAAAGATAATGATGAGAATAGCTGGGAATTGTAACCAGGTATACTGCTCGACAAAAATTAAGTTGGGGTGGGGAGTTAAACGCACAGTGACTATATATGTATACTTTTCTGTTATACCACTTTTTTCTATTAAAAAGGAGGAGAAAAATTAACTATGTATATTGAAATTTTTTTATAAATACCATCAACATAAAAGGGAGCTTGCTCAGAAGCTGAAATACACCAAGTAAATGAGATGAATAGTGGGAAGTAGAGGAAAAAGGTAAGGGAAGGAGGGAAATGAGGAGTGGTAAGGGGAGGGAGAGAAGGAGAGAGGAAGTTGAGAAGAGAAGAATGACAGAGGGAAGAAAGGAGGTAGGGAGGGGGAGGAGAGAGGGAGACAAAAGTGATGGACAAAGTACAAATAGGGTGTATGGAGAGTAGAAGAGCCAATAATTGGTTTTGGGGAGTTGGTAAGATGAATTGATATAAACATTTAATAATACAATATGATGTTGGTTATGTAATAGTATACATGTAAATTATATGTTATGAAAATGGAAAAAAAAACTTTAATTAAAAAAGACTTGCATATTTAGTTTTACACATAGCCTTACAATACTGTGAAGTGTTAGTACTACTTTATAATGCCTTGGTAAGAAAACACCTGGAATAGTTTATCTAGTTTTTGTTGCTACATTATAAAAAAGATGTTGAGATTAGGAAAATCCTGGAGAAGATAATCAGTAACAAATCTGCAAACACCTAGAAGCAAGCCAAGTTATAACCAGAAGCCAACTTGGGTTTGTCAAAAACAAATCTTATTTCATTTTTTGACAAAGTGACTAAAGTAGTGAACCAGCAAATTGTTGTGGACATAGTATACTTGGATCTCAATAAAACATTCGACAAAGTAGATCACAATCTACATACTTCTTAAGAAGCTTGAAAAATATGGGATATCCTGCATTACCACGAGATAGATTTGTAACTGGTTTCCAAACCACACTCCACATGTAGTCTTTAATGAAACTACATCTACATGGAAGTAAGGAAGTAGGGGGATATCCCCCAAGATTCTGTTTTAGACCTAGTATTCTTCAATTTCTCATAAACGATCTAGAGGAAATAGAAGGGGAACTCATCAAATTGGCAGATAACATCAAGCCAGCAGAACTGGACAATATCCCAGAAGTTAGCTTAAGATCCAGATGTATCTCGACTGACTCAAACACTGTTCCCTATCTAACAAAATGAAATTCAATGTAGAGGAAACTAAGATTCTATATTTAGGCAAGAAAAACCAAATGTACAGGTACAGATTAGGTGAAACTTTGCTGAATACCAGTAATGTGAGAAGAATATTGGAGTTCTAGTGGACAGTCACTTAAATATGAGCCAGCAGTGTGTGACAACATAAAAAAACCCTAATATAATCCTATGCTGTTTGCTGTTACATCAGTGACTACTTCTTGGATAATCAAACGCATTATCGTTCTAAATGACTCTTTTAGTCTGAAGCTTGCTTGCATGCTTGCTTGGTTTATTGCACTGCTCACTAATACTTCTTGAATGGAATGCAATTCCAGAAGATTATGGTCTGCTACGAGGTGTAGCAGGAAAATCATTATGGGAGGAAAATGATTGTGGGGGGAAAAGGAATCGTGGTAGAATTCATCCTCTCTGGAAAAAAAATGAGTTTGATGAGTTTAAAGATATAAAGACTTGTATAGGAACTTTGTGACAAAAGCTGAGATTGGTTATCTTGTTAATTATGTATTATTTCAGAAGCAAATTAATCTACTTTATTTGGATAAAACCCTCACCAGCAGGTTGAGAGTGGCATGTGATGAATAGTTGCAAGATCACAAGAGGAACATGAAAAAAAAATGCAGGTTGTAAATTGAGAGTATGAAATTACTCTCAATTTCAGGGAGTATTGCAACTTTTATAAGGCAACCCATATGTAAGAAACTTGGATTTGTATACAAGCTGACAATAGCACTAAGCAATGAATAAAGCCAGCTAGTTTGAAAATAGATCTAGAGTAACTGAAAGGACATCCTATATGTTAAATTCTATTGGCTGGCTTGTATTTTCAAAGTTAATGCAAGTATTCAGGATTCCCTCATTCTCTGTAGGACTATAAAGTTATTGTTTGCATTATTATATTGTGGGCTTTCCCCCCCCTTTTTTTAACCAAAATTGAATACGAGTAGTCCTCACTTAACAAAGGTAATTGGGGCTGGAATTTTTGTTGCTAAGCAACACAGTTAAAAAGTGTATTACATGACCATTCCGCTTAGCAATAGAAATTTTGGAATTTCCAGTTGCCATTGTTAAGGGAATTACTATGGGTCATTAAGCAGGAAATCATATAATCATCATATGTAACCTCCTACTAGCATCCCCATTGACTTTACTTGTATGAATCCAGCAAAGATGATTGAGAATTGTAATCACATCAGTGCATAAGATGCTATGATATTGTAACTACAAGGACTAGTCATAACTAGCACTCCTTCAGCACCTTTGTTAGTTTGAATTATGGTTGCTGAACAATTGGTTTAACAGGTTTAACAACCACCTGTAAGAGCCTTTCATCCCAACTGCAAACTCTCATTTTCATAAACAGCATTTAGGAACTTCATAACAGAGTTCTCAAAACTGTTTCTTTGCCAAAGTTAACACTATTAAAATTGCTGAAAAATTATCTAAACATTTTATATATATGCACATACATGCACACAATCTAATATCTATTCTTTTTATAGGTATCATATTACAAACCAGTACTAAAATTTTTGGAAGCTGGGGTGTGAGGATTCTGAGACATAAAAAAGACTTCTAATTAATAATAGTTCTGGCCACCAAAGTTTATTTTTAAGTAGCCATGCCAGAACAGGTGATCTTTTCACTTGGAAAGAGGATAGTGTCTTAGGAACATAAATAAGGCAAATCTGGTCACTATTGTCTTTTTTTTCTTTTTTCAGGCAAAAAATTAAGGGTCGTGCTCCCCAACCACCAAAGCAACCTCCCATTGCTCGTGATGTTAAGGAACATAAAGTAATCCCAACCCTAGGAATGTGGTCAAATCAGAATATCTTAACTGTGAAGGGAAATCAGATTAAAACCACAGTGGAAATTCTGGTAGTTTTTCCAAATGGAGAAGAACAGAAACATACTATACATGGGAGGTAAGATTTTTAATATCTGAAACAAATAATACTGTCCACAACTTTTAAAATACATGATAAAGGTATATGTAATCACACATATGTAACACCTAGAAGCAAACAACCAGTAGCTAACATGGGTTTGTCAAAAACAGATAATTCCAAACAAATCTTATTTCATTCTTCGACAAAATGACCAAATTAGTAGATCAGTAAACTGCTGTGGACATAGAATACACAGATTTCAGTAAAGCATTTGATAAAGTAGACCTCAAATACATCTTGGCAAACTAGTAAAATGTAGGATAGAGAGCACCACCATCAGGTTCTTTTGTAACTGGCTGACAAACTGCACTCAACCTGTAGTCTTCAATGGAACTACATTCACATGGATGGAAGTAAGCAGTGAGATACACCAAGGTTCCATTTTAGGCCCAGCACTCTTCAATATCTTTATAAATAATCTAGATGAAGGAATTGAAGTGGAATTCATCACATTTGCAGATGATACTAAGCTAATAGGAATAGCCAACAGCCCAGAAGATAAGCTCAAGATCCAAAAAGATCTTGACATAATTAAACAGTAGGCCCTAGCTAACAAAATAAAATTCAGCATAGATAAAAATAAGGTTTTACATTTAGGCAAGAAAAACCAACTGTATAGGTATAGACTACATGAAAATTGGCTTAATCCAGTAACTGCAAGAGAGGTCTGGGAGTCCTAATAGGCAGTCACATAAGTACGAGCCAACAGTGTGTGGCAGCAGCCCAAAAAGCAAATATAATCTTAGGTTGCATTATTAGAGGGATAGAATCAAGATCACATTAATTTCTAGTAGCCCTTTACTAAGTCTTAATAAGACCACATTTGGAATACCTCATCCAGTTCTGGTTACCACAATATAAAAAAGATGTTGAGGCTCTGAAAAGAGTGCAAAGAAGAGCAACAAAAATAATTTGGGAGCTGAAGGTTATAACATACAAAGAATGACTACAGGAATTAGATATGTCTAGTTTAATGACAAGAAGGACTATGAGTAGCATCATAGCATTGTTACAATATTTGAGGAGCTCCTACAAAGATGAGGGGTCAAGCTATTTTCAAAGCACCAAAAATGAAGACAAGAAACAATGGTCTTGGAAACTAACCAAGGAGAAAAACAACTTATAATTAAGGAGAGATTATCTAATAGTGAGAGCAATAAACAAATGAAATAGCTTGCCTTCAGAAGTTGGGGGTGCTCTATCACTATTACTACTTGAGAGACCGCCTCCTGCCAATTACCTCCTCGCGACCGATTAGATCACACAGATTAGGCCTCCTCCGAGTTCCATCTGCCAGCCAGTGCCGACTGGCAACTATGCGGAGGAGAGCCTTTTCAGTAGTAGCTCCGACCCGTTGGAACGACCTCCCCGTGGAGATTCATACCCTCACCACCCTCCAGACCTTCCGCACAGCCCTTAAGATCTGGCTATCCCGCCAGGCCTGGGGTTAAAGATTGGGATCCGTCCCCACCCGAATGATGAATGAATGTTGCTTCTATTTTTAATTGTGTATTGTCTGTATATGTCATTACGTGTATCCCCTCCCTATAGGTTGTAAGCCGCCCTGAGTCCCCTCAGGGAAAAGGGCGGCCTATAAATAAAAGCAATCTAAATCTAAATCTAAATCTACTACTTGTGCCGTATCCATCATCGGGCATTGCCGATCATGTTGGCAATTCTACTTTTATCAACAGCTGTACGAAAAAGTGCTGCTGAATTTTGTCCAAACCAGTTCCTTAGATTTTGATGTTGTTCTTCTGTCTGAACTTCATTTGCCTTCAATCTTTCCCTGGAGGATTAAGTGAAGTATGTCATATTTTTCTGGGTGTCACATCACATGTACAAAATATTCTAACTTTCACTTTTTAATGGTTTTTAAGATTATCCCTTGGCTTTCCCAGCCGGTTTATCACTTCCTCATTTCTGATTTTGTCAATCCAGCTTATAATAATAATTGCCTGTAAATCCACATTTCAAATGCTTCTAGTTTCTTCAAGTGGTTTTCTGTCAGAGACCAACTACTTACTCCGTAGAGCAGGATAGAAAAGATGTAACGTCTGACAATCCTGATTTTCAATCTTAGCCAGTGACTGCAGAAGACCTTTTTCATTTTGAAGGATGTTGTTCGAGCTTTCTCTATCCTTGTTTTTACCTGGGTCATGTTGCAGCTGGAGACTTTCAAAAAGAGACTGGACAATCCTTTGTCTTAAATGATATAGGGTGTCATGCTTGAGCAGGCGGTTGGACTACAAAGCCTCTGAGGTCCCTTCCAACTCTTATTATGTTCTGAGTAAATTTGCTGGGGGAATAGCTAACATTTTAGATAAGATTCAGAAGGTTCTTGACAGCTTCTTTGTAAGCATTGAACCCTATCTAACAAGATTCAATGGTGAGAAAAGTAAAGTCCTGCTTTTAGGCAGCAAAAACCAATTGCGCAGCTACATAATAGTCAGTACCTGGCTCTACAGTAGAACCCATTGAGGATTTAAGTGTCCTGTTGAAGGATCTAAGTGTCCATATAGACCTCTGGTTAACTTTGGTTCAGCCATGAGTTGAAACAGCCAGTGCAGTCCTGAGCTCCATAAACTCAGGTGTTTAGCATCCAGTTCACAAATGATAGTACAGGTCTACACTGCATTAGTAAGGCCACACATTGAATATTATATCCAGTACTAGTCATTACAATGTACAAAGATATTGAGGCTCTAGAAAGAGTGTAAAGAAAAGCAACAAATATGATAAAGGGACTGGAGGCATAATCATATGATTTAGGGAGCTAACAAAGAGAAGGCACTCACTCCCATACTTGAAAGGCTAAAGGAAGAGGGGAATTGATTTATACTGAGGATAGTATAAGAAACAATGAATAGAAGCTTGTCAGAGAAAGATCCAACCTGGAATTAAGGAGAAATTTTCTGACAATGAAAATATTACTCAATGGAAAAGTTGTTTCACAAAGTTGTGCTCCATTACTGGAGTTTTTCAAAAGGAAATTGGATAATTCATCTGGAATGGAATAAGAAGGCAAGGCAATTTACCAGGGCAAGTGGGCATGGGGTTGGACTAGAAGACCTCCAGTGTCTTTTCAAGCTGTATGATTCTATGAGAGAATCATAGAATCAATTATAGAACTGACTTGCAGTAAGTATAAGTAATGTAAAAAGTTGAGGTCATAATTATATTAGTATTTTATTGTGTTGGAAAGAGTTGGAACACATTTTTCTTCTATCCTTTTTTAACCATCCTGCACTCCCCCTATTAAAAAAATATTGTAATTTATGCTATAATGAATTTTTAAAATCAAAAGAAATTTAATTTGATCCCCTATTATATTTCCTGAAGATTTTATTTAGAGAAGCAATAATATTTAATGATAATTGATAAGCCATCTCCTTGGTTAATAAAATGACAATTACTAACTATACTAATAAAAATATTTCCTATTGATTAAGGCCTCCACAACAGTCCCCATTTCTCATGTGCTCTTGGAAAAATTGCCCACTCCTCTGTAAAATGCAGATATATAAAAAGATTTTGAACATTTATATTTTTCATGTTTTTAAAGTGTTTTCAAAATAATGACTTGATATCTTTTGTTGTGATGTATGTTGTATAGGTATTTATTGTAAAATCTTCAAGAAAAGCCTATAGTTAATCCTAGTTCATAATTGGTCTTTTCATGAATAACCTTCAGCATTTTTCCCCCAGCAAACCTGTGATGGATCTGTTTGTAGAGTTGTGCAGCCAGTACCACTTAAACCCAGCAATTTATACTTTTGAATTGAAGTCTGGGGAGACCCAACAATCTTTGAGTTACAAGCCAAATACTTTGATAGGGACATTAGAGGTACAGAAGATACTTCTAAAATTGAAGGTTCCTGAAGAAAAAAAATTCAAGCGGCCTCCACCAAAGATTCCTGAGGTAAAAGAATTTTCTTATGATGCATTTTCTTGCATTATGGCCAGGAATAGAGAAGGGGACACTGTGTTGGATTATTTTAATATTACTGATACAATCTTTTAATCCACCGAGTATCACAAGAATAGGCATCATTGGCCAAATTCACAAGGATCAAGTGATTCCACTGTTCCGATTGAATTTACAGTTAGAGGTTCTTTTGAGTAGGCTGTCAAACCTGAAAATGTGGTTGCTTTATGAACTGCATTCAGTTTAATAAATTATCATCTTAAATAATTTGATGTTTTTAAATAAGCAGTATATGAATATTTATTAAAATAAAAAGTGAAAATATGAATTAACTAATTGAAGCATACAAAAAGCTTGTGGCTTGGATATCTAGGTTTGACTTAAAAGTGAGGGAAACTCATTTCAGGAATGAATCATGCAAAATGTGTAGTATAACAGGCATACAGGTAGTCCTCAGTTACTGTTATTGAACAGTCCAATAACTGTTCAAGTTATAATGGCATTGAATAAATGGTGGTTATGAGTCCTCAAAATTCTGGCTGCCTCAGCATCTCCACAGATACATGATCTTAATCTGGGTCTTGACAACTAGCTTACATGTAGGACAATTGCAGTACCCCATGGTGATGAATTTACAACCTTCCCTGCTGGCTTTCCACAAGCAAAATTAATTACCCTCTGTGCACCCTCCTTTAGGCCCTCTGCACTCACACTGCTCCTCACTGGCCACCTGTACATTCTTGCATATCTCTTTGAGCCCCACTACACTTGTCACTGCCTCTCCTGCTACCCACACATTCTTTTCCCTATCTGAGCTTTGCTGCTCTCACACCATTCCTCACTCGTGCAGCTCCTCAAACTTCTTTATGTGTTTCCTGACCACCTGCGCACTCTTCTCAAGCTTCAGTGTGCTTATGCCATGTCTCACATCCCATTCATATTCGTGCATCCTCCCTAAGCCTCAATGTACTTGTTGTCTGTCTCTCCAATAACTCACACACCTTTCTCAGCCACTTGTACACCCTCTCAGGCCAAATAAATTCTCCATGGTTCTCATTTGCAGGTTTTGAAACTAATTTATGAGGAATAATTTAGGGAATCAGGAGACCTTATAGCGTGCATCCTTGTTTTCTAAGACCACTAAATCTGTTTGGGTTTTTTTTTTTAGTAAGTGTGATATCTCTTCAGTTACCTTTCTTTTCATTATTTTTTTGAGTGTTATATATGATTATTGCATATATAACTTTATTGATTACTGTTTATTCATATATCTCTGCAGAATGTTATAGTGTTAAAATGAAGGTATAGTGCACATTTATATTTTAGTTTCCTCATTCAGTTTAAATGATCTATTTTAATTCTATTTTAATTCTATTGATGAAGTATTGTGCTTGGACATCTTGGTTGTTTTTTAATTGCTTTCCCCTAGAAAACTGTGAGACTGGTAGTAAATTATCTGAAGACACAAAAGACAGTAGTTCGAGTGAATCCTGAAGTTCCTCTTCAGAATATAATCCCAATCATTTGCGAAAAGTGTGAAGTTAGTCAGGAATGCATTGTTCTCTTAAAAGATAATTTCACTGGAGAAAAACTGGAATTGACAAAGTCATTGAATGACCTAGGGATAAAGGAGCTTTATGTCTGCGACAATACACAAGGTAAATCACGATCTATGTTAAATTATCATAGGAAACCTCTGTAAATATTAATGTGTATAAATGGGGACGTCCACTTTGAGGTGGCTAGTAGATCAGTAGAACTCACTTTGTCTTTCTATACATTGGTTCTTTTTATCCACGTTTAATATTAATTTTAAAGTTTTAATTTTTAATACCCTAAGTTTTTATGTTTTAATCTTGTAATTGTTGTATATATATATGGTATTGGAAGCTGCCTAGAGTTGCTTGATAGTCAGATGGGCAGTATACAAATTGAATTAATTAATTAATTAATTAATTAATTAATTAATTAATTAATTAATGATGCGGTTACATACTCTCTTGATCTAATCTCCATGCTATTTAAAAACAACATGAAGTTGCTGGGGCAGATCATCTCTTGGTTCAGGATGCATAATCCTCAGTATGCTAATGACATTCAATTGTATATAATATAACAGAATTTTTATTATGGTCAGTGACTAATCCAGAAAACCTGAACTCAACTTTGTATTGCTAGCTTGAGTTAGAACAGGGATGCTATTGAAGTCCTGTCCTGGTAGATCTAAATGAAATCAAATGAAATCTCAATAAGATAGAGTAGCTAATTGTCCATGATGAATCTTGCTCAGTTTTGTTTCTCTTTATATTTTAATCATACATTTTTAAAGAATAAAGGAAATAGATAAAAAGCCTTATTGGAATTAATCTGGGTAGTTCTTAAAAGAAAGGATAAAACAATACAAAACCAAGTGATCAGCTGCTTTTTCCCCTTCCTGCACACAGGAAGGCTACGCTTCTGTAATGAAAGGGCCCTTTTAATATCAACTCTCTAGTACAGTTGAACAAAGCACATTGATACAAGCCATTATAAATGCTCTGTAATGCTTTAGCTTTGCTACATTAGTTAAATAATTAGCTGGGTGCTTTTTGATTACAGGAGTTCTTAAATCTGGATATTTGTAAAGCAGGCATCTGTCCATATCACTTATTTCAGAAATACTTTTCAATTACACAATTTACTTTTCATATCCCATTGAAATCAGACCGGTGTATATCCTATTCCTAAGTTTCATATAAGATCTTTATTCCATTTAAGCCAGTGGTATGCAAAACTATTAAAATTAATCTTGATGAAAAATAAATTGATTTCAGTATAAAAGAAAAGAAAAGAAGTGAATCAGATTTATATTTCCACTAACATGTTTCTAATATTCAAGCTATATGTAAAATAAGCAGGGAAAATCTTAAAATATATATAAAATATCATTTCTGTATAATTTATAAAGAGTAATTATCCCAATAAATACAAACCTAAGAATCATATACCAGATGAGCAGTGGTTTTGCCTTGGAAGTTTTAATTGCTGCTGCAACATAATATGTGCCAGGGTTTTGCTACATTGACATGTCTTTCAATTTTGTATTATATTGAATTTATCTTTTTTAGATTCAAGAACTCTTGAAAAAAATGCCAAGGCATTTACATAATTGTAACTTGTTCACTGTAAATTTTAGCTATTTTTCACTTATGATTATCTGATCTGGTTAAAAAAAATAAACTAGTTTTTGTTTTATGATAATTAACAATCTCTCAGTAATCTGCCATATAGTGAGCAACAAAAACTTCTTGTTGCTTCCAGTGACATAACAGTTACATCATCAAGACACAGAGCACCCATCAAAAGCTTATTAACTTTCATTAAGGTGAAATTTCTTTGTAAGCATTTGAATTGAATTGACATGACGTTACTTAATCACTGAACAAATTGAATCAACTACATTAATAGGAGCAGCAACAAGCATTTATCTATTCAAATGTCTTCAGGTTTATTCCACAAAGTGTTTAAAATCAATGAAAACTATATATAACCCTTAATATAAAACAATAGTGCCATATAGAGCAATGTATTGTTGAGGCAGGTACTGATCAATCTCTATTAACCTTTATGAAATTTGTTGGAATCCTAACATAACTTGGATCCTTTCCTGCCCTTTATTTGGCCATTTAAGCATTTAACTTCTGAAGTAGTTATTTGGATCTATCATTGATGATGTTCCTACGTCCCCTATAAGTACACAAGTATTGGGGATAGGGTAATAAGGCCAATAGCTGGAAACTGGAACTCGACACCCCCCCAAAATAGAGTAAACTCGGTAAAGTTTTTTTTCTCCTAAAAACTCAGCTCAAATATGTTTCAGATTACTGAATCAGTAATTAATGGTGTAAAGGCATAGTTACCAGAAAGGAGCCTGTTCTTATCTTATGAAATACGACTTTCCCAATAAGATCTGGCCTACCCTGTATTGTCTTTGAAGGAGGGAATGCTTAAAACTTTTACCTCACAAAGAGGCAGGAATCTGACGATATATCTTCTTAGTAGTTGCCTGGTACTCTGGAATAGGTGTCTTTTAAGATATGGAATAGCCAAACCATTTGTTCTTGTCTAAGATGTTTCAGCTCTTATTATTATTCAGTATGTTTAGGCATTGATGGTAGAAAGACTGTCTTTACCTTTTTGGCTGCTAGTGGTGGTATTTTTATAGTAAACCTAGAAAAAAGGCAATATATTAAAATCTTGTATAAGTAAATAAATCAATATATTGCATAATTTCATAGTGTAACTTTCCTGTTGTTGCAGCTCCTCCATCAAAAACTCACTCTGAACCTACTGTGAATTATAGAGGTACTGTAAAATGCATTTGGAGATAAATTTTCCCTTTAGGTTTTGCTTTTGTATGTTTTGATATTAATATTTTTATATTTTCTGTTATCTCTGGAATCATAATGAATTTTAGCAAACAATAAAAAACTTTTTGTTTTGAATAAAAAAAAGTTTTATTAGCATGAAAGTAAACTGTGTGTGTCAGCTGTGATCTGTAACATGCATGGTATCATAGTTATTTTTAAGCCTTTAAGACCAAAGCTTTCATTAACTATATAAAATGGGCAATCCACAGCTGTGCATTACCTTTCCCTCCTAGCACTCTGTTGCATCCAAGTCACTTGTGGAAATAATGGAGACAAATATTTTGGCCTTTATGGGAGCTTTAAGGAGTGAAATAGGTGCCTTAACTTCTTTAAAGGTTAAACAGACTTTTCTTGACTAGTTAGGCAAGAAACTGCAAGAATTGACTTCTAAGGACACAAATTCTCAAATATGTTGGCTTATTGTAGAAAACCTAGGAAAGCCATTTGTGAGAATCCGACCAATTGATATGAATTATCAAACACAACTTTTATTTTATTGTGTAATCAATTTTTTGCTTTGGCAATGTATTAATCTGATATCAGGCTTTTTGATCAACATTTATAACATTTTGATTTTTCACTCCTTCATATATTAGTGAATATATTTCAACATTCTAGTCTCTAATCTATGTCTGTCTGTCCGTCTATCCAATATAGTATTTTAGTCTAAAACACCCCATTTGTGATTTTTTTCATAGAATATGTCAGCTACAAACAATATAAATTATTCTTGTTACCTGTTTGCAGGTACTAGCTAAATTTTAATGTGTTATTTTGTGTAAAAGGATACAGATTCCAGATAATAGTATGTATTATAATTATTTGTATATAAAATAAGGAGGGATTTATTAGACAATTTATGACTAGGCAAGAATGGGCAGTTGATAGTAGAGAAGCAATAATAAAAGGAGTGATAACAATTGTCTATACAAAATTGCCAAGTGGTATTCTTTGATGATAAACTGTATGAGATAACAAATTGAATTTATTATTCCATGTTTAAAGGTATAGATATGAATCTATACCCACACAGATACAAAGAGAGAAAGTTTTAATATAAAACTTGGACTGAAGTCTAAAATCTAAAATAAGTGACTTGAGTGAATGCCATATGACTTTTTTCCTCTCATGAGTAACTCAAAACAATAATAAACATTATTTTAAATATATATCTGTATCCTCTATGCAGTAGAGGTTTATGATTTCAATTTTCAAATAATAAGCTATTCTATTAAAATGTTATTTGAACTGGGTTGGAATAGTCATTGTGACTTGTGCATTTAACAGAAACAAGCCTATCATCTGGTTATGACATATCAGTAAAAGAAAAGAAAGGATTTCTTGGATTTTTTAGGACAAGTAAGAAAAACAAGGTAAATGCTATATTTGTTCATTCGGCTAGTGATTTCTACTTATCTTGTAAGTTTTGTCTTGTAGCTTGTACTTAGGGTGTTGCTAAAATGACTCTTATTGCATCTCAATTAAATATTGATCAGATAGATAGATAGATAGATAGATAGATAGATAGATAGATAGATAGATAGATAGATAGATAGATAGATAGATATAGATAATAGATATGCTGATCTTGTTGTATTTGGGTCTTTTTCCGTGTAAGATTGAGATTGTCTTGGCAACATTTCGGTGAGACATCAGCCTGAAGATGGCGAGTGAGACCTCACCAAAACGTTGCCAAGACAATCTCAATCTTACACGGGAAAAGATACAAATACAACAAGACCAGCATACCTACACTCGTGAAAATCTATGAAAGCACACACGCGCGTGCGCACGCACACACACACACACACACACACACACACACACACACACACACACACACACACACACCCCTACCTACTTCACAGTTGTAACCCAGAATCCAATGCTGCAGATAGGTATAGATTCATGGTTTATAGTCATTCTTTCACCTATCCCTTAGCTATTCCTCGTGCCATGGTGGTGCAGTGGTTGGAATGTAGTATTGCAGGCAAACTCTGCCTGCAGCTTGTAATTTGATCCTGATGCAATTTAAGCTTGACTCATCTTACCATCTTCCAGGGTCGGTAAAATGAGGCCTGGATTGCTGGAGGCAATATGCTGACATTGTAAACCAGAGAATATTGTAAGGCATTATGGAGTGGTATATAAGTCTAAATGCTATTGCTATTGCTTGATAAAGCCATAGTTTTTACTGTTCCTAATAAATTCCATTTACTGGGACTAAATTAGATTTTTTAAAAATCAAAGTAGTTTTGGCAAATGATCCTATGAATATCAAAGTATGGCAGCTATAGGACAGTCTAAGTTCATGTTTCAGCTCCTGAACTACATATTCAACAGCAAACAATCTAAACCCCTTCTGAACATTTTACATTATGTAAAATAACATCTCCTGATTTCCAAAAACAGGACAGTTAATCTTATTATTCCTAATATTGCTTTATATTTTCTACTAAAACTAATATATATATTTCATCTACTTCTTTTTATGGTTTTTTAACTAACTTGTAAAGATCAAGTCTCAGTGGCAAATGAATAAACAGAGCACGAGCTTCTACCCCTCCAAAGAACTACATAAAATGAAAATCTGTGTCTTTCATTTTGAGAAATGTAGATGTGATTTTAAGAACATTTGTTAAAATATTAGTTGTTTCTGCATTGTGCATATAATGTATATTATGCAGGTCAGGTATATATATGCAAGTTATTTACAGCACACTTAGTCCTTGTCTTGCAACCATTTATTTAGTGACCATTCAGAGTTACAATGGCAATGGAAAAAAGTGATTTATGATCATTTTTTCACATGACTAGTGCAGCATTCCTATGGTCACATGATCAAAATTTGGACACTTGGCATCTGGCTTACCCTTATCACAGTGGCAGTGTTCTGGGGTCATGTGGTCACTTTTTGTGACTTTCTGACAGACGAAGTCAATAGGGAAGCCCGATTCCGTATTAACTGTTAAATGGTGGTTAAATTATGTTATTAACAACTAAGACAATTCATTTAAACAATTGTGCCAACAAAAGTAATAAAACATACTTAACAACTGTCTTGCTTAGCAATAGAAATGTTGGGCTCAATTGTTCCAGTAAGTTAAGGATTGCCTGAATATCAATTGAGAAATGTACAATTCTTCTATATGCATTTTCTATGATTTACACACATTAATGACTTAGCTCATATCAATCTAAATATCTATATCTATCTATATAGATGAGAGAGATAGAGAGAGATAGAGAGATAGATATAGATATATGGATAAATGTTGTGAGGTAAGACTGCTCAGACAATTAAATGTTAAAAACAGTGTTTCAAAAAAAATGCAGTCATAGATATAAATTATAATACTATGTTATGTAAGATATATTCATATTTCTAGAATAAAATATTTTATTCTTTAAAAACTAGAATAAAAGAATAACACCTTGGAGATCTTCTAATCCCACCTCCTGCTCAAGCAGGAGAGAGACCCTATATCAGTTATGGCTAACTTTTTTGTTGTTGGGTACAAAAATGTGAGGGTGTGCGGACGGTAGCGCACATGTGTGCTGGCACCCATAATGCAAAGCACCTCTCCCCACATGTTTAGCATGCACAACCTCCCCACATGCACCGCACTACTTGCTTCCAAGCTGAGCTTGGCATTTCCCCCCGGGGGCTGGCAGAGACCGTTTTGGCTCTCCCCAGGCTCAAGGAGTCTGAGGAGGGTGAAAAATGGGCCAGATGAGTCAACCAGAAGTTCTGTTGGCCTGTTGGGCCCATGTTTCGCTCTCCTCAGGCTCCAGAGGCTTTCCTGAAGCCTGGGGAGGGTGGAAATGGCTTCCCCTGGCCCTCCAGAAGGCCTAAAACCAGCTGGCTGGCATGCACATGCATGCTGGATATGACAGCTCATGTGCCAGCGGATATGGCTCTGCATGCCACATGTGGCATCCATGCCATATGTTCGCCACCACGGCCCTATACCATTCCAGATGTTTGTCCAGTCTTTTTTAAAGCCTCCACAACTTTTGAGAGGTACAGCAGCATAGTAAGAGAGCATATTTTTGCTTTATCTTCTGGATTACAGCTGATTTCTCTTAGATATAAGCTTCCTAATATAAATTTGTCAGTTCTTTTCTAACTGAAACACAGGAGAGATGAGGATAATGACTTTGTTCCTCACCAGAGACAAAGAATCATTCCAGGACTGGCTTCTGACTCCTACAAACATGCTTTTTTTGGGGTGGGAATTCTGGGTATCTTTTCCAGTAGGCTTCCCTACTGTATTCTGTGGAGTTTGACAGGGCAAATCTATTCATCTCTCTGTGCATTAAAATTGACATACACTTTCTATGTAATAATACTATAGATTATCTCCAGTCAAAGCTACAACTTAGATAAATCTGTAATATTCCATTTTCTAATTGTTCCTAAGGAAAAAATATAATTCAAAGAATGCAGAATCTGTTGTATTCCTTTCTCTATCCCATGCGCAGACTAACTACTTTTCAGAATATTATCAGTTTGCCAAATAATGACCAAGCAGCAGTTGAATCTGTGGTTAATTATACAATGTTTTTACAGACTTTTCTACTGAGTTTGTTCATAGTTAGGTGTGTAATATATTTATTTAAAAAATATAATGTAGGATTTTTATTTAAGTTTCAGGCAGAGAAATCCTCAAGAAGAAGCCTAGATCTGGGTAGTGGAGAATTTTTAAAATCCACATTTCGTAAACAAAGCCTTGATGTAAGTCCTAATTTAGTCATTAGATAGTGCTACTATGATATTAAATAATTCATTATAGTCTATCTATTTGTGGAAAAGTCCTTTGGGGTTATACCATTGTACCAGTGGTGAAATTTACCACTGTTCTGTGGGCGTGGCTTGGTGGGTGGGGCAGGGGGAGGATACTGCAAAATCTCCATTTCCACCAAACTCTAGGGGAAGGATATTGCAAAATCTCCATTCCAACCCCACTCTGGGGCCAGCAAAAGGTGGTATTTTCCAGTTCTCTGAACTACTCAAAATTTCTGTTAACGGTTCTCCAGAACCTGTCAGAACGTGCTGAATTTCACCCCTGGATTGTACTCTTTCCAGTGGAATTAAATTCTATATTAATTATATTAACATGTAGGGTTGAAAGACAAAACAAAACAGGTCATGTACATTGACCAACAGAAAAAGTGGAAAAGGATGCTCAATTAGGCTGTTGCTATTGTTCTTAAGGCTGAAGCAAAACATATATGCCATGCTTCACTCCTGTAAAAGAACAAGCAGTTTTCTTTGGTTCTCCAAGATAATTTAATGGTAGTGTTGTTTTGAAAGTTTCAGGGTCTTCTGTGAAGTGAAGTTGAAGGATTTTTGTGTGCATTTGTCTTGCACTTGTTTCTTTTAAATTATTGATATTTTTCATGCTAATTTATACAATGACAAACACTGCTCCAGTCTCCGCTATTATGAAGCTTTACTAGATGGGGTAATGCATGGATATCATTGATGGAATGCTAGTGGTAGTAAGCATTCATATAGCCTATGACCTAGTGAAGAACAGTTCTGGTCTTAATTCTGCTGTTGGAAAGAGAGGATTAACACTGTTGCTACTGCCTGACCAACTTTGCTGGCATATCTGGCAGCTTAACTCAGGTTCATCCTTCCTCTTCATTTATAGCCTCTCATTTTAATAATATGAAGTTATTTGTATTTGCTTTATTTTTAAATTAATATGATTAGTTAGAAATAAGAAAAATAATTTGATTGATCAAATTTATATAGTCATCCATCTCATGTAGTTACTCTGGATGGTATATAAAATAAAACAATCCATATTGATAAAAACCAATTAAAAAACAACCGAATTACATTAAAAAGGTGAAAACAGAATAGTAGAAAAACATACAAAATGCATTTAATCAGTCACTATGCAACCATCTAGCAGGGTATAAAATAGTCAGACAGTTAACAAATGCCTTCTGAAGGGCCAACATAAATATCAGGCAGCATTTTGTTATTGTTTCAGGTAAATTTATAATAAATGGCTTTGAAACGTCACAATAAATTTTGATGGTGGCTTGTTCATCTGATTACAGGAAACAATGATCGCAGATTCTTCACGAAATTTATGTTCTGTAATGGTGACACCGTCATTATCGCATGGAAGTTCACAAGGGGCAACTGCAAAAGTTGAAATGAAGAAGCGGAGAGCACCACCCGTACCAGTAATACCACCCTTTTCTGGTGGGAAAGCCGAGAGAGAAGAAAAAATGCCAAGTCCGGTAAGAAACCTACATTAGAAATATAAATTGAATAAATAGTCATAATCTGAAATTACTACGGCATGGTCAGTATTCAGCTCATGCAACTCCTCTTAAAAGTTTTATTCCTGCTCAGAAAGCCTAAATTAAGTATCAGGTTCAGAGACTAAGTATGGTAGGTTGTTCAGGACTTGGAATTGTTGTTTTGCATGAACTCGTATGATAGGTATTGGTCTCACATTGTTTCAGGAATTTTTCCCTGTGTGGGAGAAGGCTTTGTAATAGGCTCTTTTGCATAATTTTATTGATTCTCAAGGAGAATTGAAGTAACATTGGCATACATACTGGTAGGAAATTCACTCTGGGGGGTTTCTTATGTGACCTGGATTTTCCAAAATGAGGTGGCACATATCACTTTGATGACCCTGTAAGGAAATTGAAACAGAACTTCTGGATAGTTTTGTAGTGATACACATTAAAAAGAGAAGAAAATGGAAAAATCAAGTATCAACAGAAATATGGGGTTATATTGCTCTTTGTTTTCCTAATGAAATGTTTTGTTCAAGATAATTTATAAAATAACATTGCTCTATAGGATTTTTAGGCTGACATAATTTAATTTCCTGTTGACAATATACAGGATATTGCACATTCTTTCCAAGTTGATTTTATGGGTGTGTAGCAAAGAAGATATAGAACAAAATGTATAGCTCTGTCTTTGGAGACTCAGAAATGGAATTGTTGATATTTCTAATGTGTCAGATATTATGCTTTCTTTTTAGAAACAATATTAGGTTGTTGTTTTTTTACTTATCTTTTAATAGATTCAATAATATTTAAAAGACAATGCTTTTCTTTCTGTAGAACATTCCAAAAAGTAATTGTAAGAGTCGGGATTCAGGAGTAGATATCTATTTTGATTTATTATAGAAAAATATTTAAAAATGAAGGCCATAAGCATAGAAGACATTAATTTAAATTCTTTTTCATCAAATGCAGGCAGTAATATCTTAAGTTGGTAGCTAATCAATGTAATGCTGAAGCATCAAAATGGCAACAGTTTACATTATTGGGATATTTAATTTTAGAATTGAAATTCCTTGACTGTTAAATTTTATTTTTTATTAGAAGACGTATTTCTTGAAGAAGAGGTGGGGGAATAGTCTGCTATCTGGGTAGAATTTTGGAGAAACATCTGGCTATCATTTGAGAAAAGAACAGAACAGAATAGCTGGAAGTGACCTTGGAGGTCTTCTAGTCCAATCCCCTGCTCAAGTAGGAGACCCTGTACCATTTCAGACAAGTGGCTTTCCAGTCTCTTCTTTAAAACTTCCATGATGAAGTTCCCACAACTTCTGAACCACTTGTTCAGGTTCATTGTGTTCACTGTTAGGAAGTTATCTCATGCACGCATGTACAAGGGGGGGTGTGTGTCACATGTTACATTATGGATGCCCACACATGACCCCCATGCACTCCCCCCCTTATGGCACACGAGCCAAAAAAGGTTAGCTATTGCTCCTCTAGAGTCTAGGCTTTTAATCATCTTAGTTGCATTTGTCTGTACTTTATCCAAAGTCTCAACATCTTTTTTGTGGTGTGGTGCGACCCAAACTGAATGCAGTATTCCAGGTGGTTTTACTAAGGTTTTATAAAGCGGTAATAATACTTCATGTGATTTTGATTCTATGCGTCTGTTTATACAAGCAAGGATTGTATTAGCATTTTTAGTTGCTGCCGCCCATTGTTGTTGGATAGAGCCCATTGTTCATGTCTGTCAAGATCTTTTTTGTATCCTGTGTTTGTCTTCTGGGGTTTTGGCTATTCCTGTCATCTGCAAATTAGGATGATTTGAAATTATGAGTTTATCAAATGTTTAATCTATTTTTTTTCTAAAACGTTTAGAAAAACTAATAAAATAAAAAATTATTAGAATAAAAAGTGGTCATACTGTAATCAGGGACTGCCTATATTGATGTTATAATTATGTTGTTTTTATAATACACAACTATGAAATGTGTATATTCTGTATATACAGTATGTCTCTATGTCTTATATGTATTGTATCTGCCTGCCTGCTTGCCTGCCTGCCTGCCTGCCAGTCCTGGAAGATAGCAGAAATCTCCTCCCCACTTCCAAGTATAGAACATTTAATCATGGATTTATTTATGCAATTAGAATTCTATATTTAAGTATGAAGGGAAAGAGGAATACCTACTATCATTAGACACACATGCTTCCTATTTTAAAATGATCCCTCGATTGAAATTTATATTTACATTAAGTAGTTAAGCAGCAAGGTTGTTTCACTATTTTAAAGAATATTAATAAAGTTGTCAGTAGAGATAGGAGGTTAAGTTTCTCCAATCTAACAAAGGCAGGCATTGCTTCTTTTATTAATTTATATTATATAATGTAACAACTATTCTATAATGTAACAACTATTCTACTAAGACATTGGTATAGTTTATAGCATAATAATAAATATAAATGCAATGCAAATTTTAATCAACAATATAAAAATACCACAATAAAGTGACAACAATGCAATAATAACATAGAGTAACTATTAAATTATAGCAAAATGAGTGCTGAATTTGTACTGACAGACACATGATGAAATTTGAAAACAGAACATTTTAGTTTCTTCTCTTCAGAAAAGAAACAATTGTACTTTCTGCTCTCTAATAGAAAGATCTGTGACAATGATATTAAATTCCTAGCAGTCTTTCGTCTTATTTGCACGTAATGTTACATAAATTCATACGTTGTTCATGAAACCTAGAGTATTTTTTTAAAAAAATCATTGACACTGTGCACTCATGACAGTGTGCTTAAAGTATTATCAATATAAAGTTAAGTTTCAGATATTAAAAAGTATTTCTCAATACAAATGTACCAAAGAAAATTTTTTATAACACTGAACAGGCTTAGTTGCTAAGCATAGAAAATAGTAGAAATAAAAGTGCAATTTTTATATTATTTAGATTTATATATTATTTTATATTAGAAGGAAGTGCAGAAAGAGGTCAAGATTGGGACCATACTTTTTCATTATAAGTTATATGGAGTCAGTGAGAACTGAAATAATTGAGTTAGTTCGGTTACTCAGATTTCTGTTCTGTTCAGGATAGTAAAATTAAAAACAAAAGAATTGAGAGGACTTTCAAAAGGATCTCTCCAAACAAGTAAATGGCTTTTAAAATGTGCAATTGCAGCTAGAAAGCAATGTGTTATATATATATATATATATATATATATATATATATATATATATATATATATATAT